CCGTCAACAAATCTGTACGATTTCAGTTCATCTCAATGTATGCACACGTACCTGTATATCTCATTGGCTGGTGCTCATCTATTACCGTCCCCGTTTTAATTTTAGCAAATCAGTTCAAGGGAATGCTGACAACATGATTAATATTCATGAACCCAGCAGCTCATCAATCCAAGTGCGTTGTACTGTATATTGGTTAGTCTAGTAGTGGTATTATCTTTTTATAATAATTACGATTATCTATTTTTTTTTTTAAATAAACCCTGAATGGCCAACAATATCTTAAAGGGTTAGTTCACCCAAAAATGAAAATTCTGTCATTAATTACTCACACTCATGTCGTTTCAAACCCATAAGACCTTCGTTCATCTTCGGAACACAAATTAAGCTTGTTTTGGTGAAAATATGTGTGTGCGTGTAAAATAGTATATCAGTCTGGCGACTACACTAAAAAATGTACTAGCCAATGGCAATTATATTGCCGAGGTGTGCGTAGAGGATTGATAATGTTTGCGTATCGGGTCTAGTATGTTGTTTAGTGTTTTGAAACCAGAAAAGACAACACATTACCTTGCACTGCAAATTCAACAATAGTGGAATATTTTTAAATAATTTAAATTGCACACTTGACCTTTAGTGGTATTTGAGAAAAACGTTAGCTGTAAATTAAGCTGTAAAACACTTATTAACATAAACCTTTTTTCATTTTAAAAGTTAGGCTCTCTTCCCATTAACATTACCTTTCAAAAATATGCAGTCAGTAAGATTTTTTAATGGAAGTCTGTTATGCTCACCAAGGTTTTATCTGATCAAACAGAGAGAGAGAAAAAAACTGCAATATTGTAAAATAACTTTTCTATTTTAACATTTTCAAATTTAATTTATTCAAGTCTTCAAAGTCACGTGATCATTCAAAAATCATTCTAATATGCTCATTTAGTGCTCAATAAGCATTTCTTACCATTATCAATGTTGAAAACGGTTGTGCTGCTTAATATTTTTGTCAAAACCATCAACAGGTTTTTTGTTTTTTTTAATAGAAAGTTGAAGAACAGCATTTATTATATAGTATCTTTTGATCAATTGACTGTTAAATTTAATGTGGTCTTGCTGAATAAAATTATTATTTCTTTAAACATGCCTGCTGCTCCACACCTCCAAATGCATTTTTAACAATCTGCTGAACTATTTGCTCAACATATCCAAGTGATTATGCCCCATATCACTGGCATCAAATGGATTTCAGATATTCAGTCTTTCGGCTCTTTCATCTCTTTGCCAATAGGACAACATTAGGAGAATTTTACGACTGGCAACGTGGGCTCTTTAAAGCGGAGCTATTCTTGTCACACTGCACGCAGGCTTCTGCTTATTTTCTCTTTGTGAGCTGCACAGCTGGTAGTGGAATGAGAATAAACTGATGTTGCATAATCTATGGCATAAGAAAAAAACCCAATAAGAGGCCTGTTGGCAGTGGCTGAACACCAGATTTATCGCTTGACAGTGATGCTTGTAACTTAGTGGAGTGGGAGGCAAAGCTAAGGGTTTTCCATCTTCTAATGAACCATGTCATGTGAGACAACCTAATAAGCATAGTGCAGAGTCTATAAATTCAAAGCCTGCACAGGGCAAATCAGATTTCACTCCTCTGTCAGCCCTGGCATCCTAAGCCTCAACAAACGTCCATCACAGGGTTAGAACGGCAGCGTTGCTTTCAATTTAATTAACTCTCCACTTCATGGACTTATGATTAATAATTTCTCATCCATAATGCAAAAACTAGCCTCAATGCTAAATATGACAGCATCATTTGCACTGGTAACGGAGAGTGGCATGTTTATTCATTTATTTTAAAGGTGCCACTATATGTAAATGCTGCCTGTCAAGCTATTTTCTTTGATGGGATTCCATTAGGCATATATATTCGTGTATTGTTTATTTTGAGTGCAAATGATCAGATTATTCCAGAACAAAAGCAAACATCCAGATGTTTATAACCCTCCGGGATTATTTATTATAAATATATACTATATATTATTTATTTGTTTGTTTAACGACATAAATACTTTTTTTATATTTCTGGAAAAATATACAGCATAAACCAGGAGCAGATTAACATAATATTACTTCTTGATTAAAAAAAATCACAATACCCATCATGAACAAAATTCATCAACAGCAGAAGCCATTTAGGCTTATGAACTGCATTTGGAGGTTGCAGCAGCTGTGTTTTTTTCCCCACTTTAAGAAAAGTCCAAATTAAGTTTCCCACTCAAAATCTTCAATAATTTCCACAGACCTGTAACTCGACTTCTACCCATCTTTTCAGTGTCAGACTAAATAAATGGACTCATTTCAGCTGTTCTGCTGCACGAATGTGTGGATGCACCTGGGCTGCAGAAAACTGTCATGGGTCACTGGAGGATGAAGCTGGTGTGTGAAAACATCAGCTGCAGGTGTACGTGTGGCTTGTACAGTAGATAAATTATTTTTGCACTATTTAGCACACAAACAGAAATAGAAATAGAAATAGTGGTATGACTCACACATTTAGGACCATTGAATGAATGGTATAGCTTCCTAAAATTTGCATCTAGTTGGTCCACTAATTCGACTATATATTTTAGCTTGCCTCTACTGTAGTTGGTACACTATTTCTACTATATATTTTAAGCTACAAAGCATGCTTTCCACTGTATTTTCTAATAGTCAACAGTCACACCAAAAGAATGGCAAATATGGGTCATCTTAGGTGCGAACCAAACACAAATTTGCTTTGCAAAGTTAATGCATAAGGTTGATGGAACTCCGACTGCATGGTCTTGATGCAAATCATGTAGACTCCATATTGAGCTGTTCAAAAACCAACTTTGGAATCTGGACCAACTAGAGGCAATCTTTAGGATGCTATAACATTCAAAAACTCAAGACAAGAAAGACGAAACGGAGCACCAATCAGCATTCATAGAATTCACTTCAGCTAAAGTCTGTTATTTGTCTAATAATCTCTTACCTGCCTTACACACTAAGCATTATGGCAAGTATAAATGTGTAAGCTGATTATAAACAAAAGCAGATTGGTGAGTAAAATCGGATCAGTGTAAGAGTTTGATCAAATGTACTAAATACCCTGCTGAGTGCTGAGTTACTGTATCTCTTCATTCAATAGTGTATCTCTGCCAATAAAATAAATTTGCTAGTTTTTTGTTATAGCCTAAATAAAGGGACAGTTCACCCAAAAATAAAAATGGTCATTGATTATCCTCACGTCATTATACATTTTGAAGAATGTCTTTTCTGATCAATAACAATGAAAACTTTCCTCAAGATGTCAAGCCTCAACAGAATGCATTATAAAGTATAAAAGTTCCCCTCAAGGCTCATTCACTAGGCTATATTCCAAGTCTCTTGGAAACAAAAAATTTAAATCATGATTTACTGAAAATCTAGCCATCCCCATTGCTCCAATAGTGATGTCCAATTGGTGAACAAACAAATCACTGAGACAGATGTGCCTAATCAACTGGACAGCAGGGTAGCCCAATTCACAAAATTAATTTTAAAATAAACAAAATATATTGTCTATGCATCATCAACATCTTTAAAACAATAGCTTTATACTTTCAAATACTTTTTTTAAATAATTGTTTGTAATATTGTGACTCATCTTGCAGCTATTTGGTATGGGTATATATATATATATATATATATATATATATATATATATAACTGTTTAACAAAGACTTTTATTTAAAAAATCCCTATGAGAAAAATACTTTCAGAACCAAGGACGTTGGGTACTGTTGCACTCTATTATGGTTTGACTATTATAGAGGTGAAGATTATAAATAAAATATCAGTCTGTCCCACACAAACCTATCATACGGCTTCAGATGACATGAAGAATAGCGCATGAGGACGACTTTTTTTATATATATATTTCATTACATTTCGTGATTCTGCATCCATTTTGAGGCTTGACATCTTCACTTACTATTCAGTGTCAATGCACCGCAACAGCATTCTTCAAAATCTCTCCTTTGTTGTGTTTCGCAGAAGAGACATATAACGAGTCAAACAATACTACAGAATCAAATTTTAATTTGTGGGTGGACTATTACTTCAGATACGTTGAATGCAAATTCGGTTGTCTTAAAGCACTCTCATTCCTATTGTGTTGTAAAGAAGACAACCGCGGCAGACCCGCTCTCAAACCCTATGAGCTGCCCACCTAAACAGCATTTCTGTCCATAGGCGCGTTCCAATCGATTCGATTAAGAAACGAACGTGCATGAGGTCCAAAAAGGCTTTCTATGCTAGGTAGGCAGCTCACTGATGTTTGAGACAGTCAAAACACAGCATACAGAAATAACCAGTGAAGGGTGAAACCTCCTTTCATCCAGGTAATGTCTTATGAAAGTAAATAAATAGAAAAAAGCATGAAATGCTTATTTGAATTTGTGGATTAATTGCTTTTGATAAAAGAGACACTGTACACTGAGTGCGAGGTGTTTTAGACGACCATATTCTGTACATTCAAAGGGTTTCTTCAATAGTCTTTAACTGTGCAGTGGAAGTATCAGCCAATACAATACAAGGTCAATACATTCTCATGAGATTATTTGTGATCCATGGCTCGCTGTCAAGTTGTATTGTTAAGCTGCTATGTAACTGACTTAAAATATTATGTGCTATTTTTTGATATTTTCTTCTCTTGTGAGTTAAATTATTTTGTCTCTCAATCACTATGGGAAATTGCATGTCTGCAGTAAAATTAGCAGTTAAAAGTGCACTCACTCTCATTCATACCGTCTTGTGTTGTGAAGACAACAGCAGCAGACTGTCTCAAACCCTAATGAGCTGCCTACCTAAACAGCATTTCTGTACATCATAAGCGCGTTCCAATCGATTCTATTAAGAGTCGAACGTGCATGATATCCAAAAAAGGCTTTCTAGGGTAGACAGGCAGCTCTCTGATGTTTGAGACACAACCGCAGTCTTACCCAGCTTTGCCCGAGACTCTTCCAGCTTCTGAATCTGGTTCTCAATAAACAGCATCGCCACTCCAAACGCCATAACAGCCAGCAGCTGGAACTTGGGTGGCATCATGATCCTCAGGAGCCCCATCAAAGTATCGGATGATTATCTACATGTCATGCCGTAAAATGTGAATGAGAAGCTCGGATCAATCCGTTACTGGAGCAGTGATATCGACTCCGGACAGATGATCTCGATTATGCGCAGAGAACACAGTAAAGTTACGCATGTATTAACTGAATACATCAGTGCAAGCAAGGGCATTTCAGACGCTCATCTGTCTGCAGAAGGTGGTATTCTGTTAAAACCGGGGACGATTGACTCTTGGGCTTAGTTGTTGCACATCAGTGCAGCTCCGATCGTACCCTGCTCTCCTGCGTCACTCAATACTCAACACTGGGATTTTATTCCTCCGCGGACTCAAATGAAGCGAGTGGAACGGGACGGTGCTTAAAGCGCCATCTATCGGGCTGGAGATTGACATGAGCCAAGTCTTTCATATTGCTCGGCTCAGTGAAAGACTTGGCTCTTGAATATTAATAAGCTTACGTTACTGGATCTCCTTGGGATTACCACAAGTACACCTTGCCTTATTAATATTGATGAGCTAAATACTGGGCCAAAGTCTCTGGCTGAGACTTAATGTAAAAAGCAAGTCAAGCACCTCATTAAACAGACAGTGAAGGATGAACTTGCTCCTCAGAAGTGGCCGAAGCAGTCCGGCAGAGAGCATGCATGAGATTTAAACATCCCTTAAAGAGAATCTGTAAAATGCACAGAAATGCATTGATGATTGTCAAGCTAAATTGATTTAGAAGACCTATATAGCAATGTTTTCCTTTTTGTTGCACATCAGTGCAGCTCCGATCGTACCCTGCTCTCCTGCGTCACTCAATACTCAACACTGGGATTTTATTCCTCCGCGGACTCAAATGAAGCGAGTGGAACGGGACGGTGCTTAAAGCGCCATCTATCGGGCTGGAGATTGACATGAGCCAAGTCTTTCATATTGCTCGGCTCAGTGAAAGACTTGGCTCTTGAATATTAATAAGCTTACGTTACTGGATCTCCTTGGGATTACCACAAGTACACCTTGCCTTATTAATATTGATGAGCTAAATACTGGGCCAAAGTCTCTGGCTGAGACTTAATGTAAAAAAAAAAGTAAAAAAAATAAATAAACAATGCAGATACTTTTTTTTTTTCACCGTACACAGGCAAAAACTGTAAAAGATCTAAAGGCAAATCAAATTATAATTTACAGTGAAAAACTGTAAATTGATATTCCCAGAATTCCCTGGGGGACACTTTACAACTGAAAGTATTTTGTTTGAATAATTATGTTTCTTCGTATATCAGTTATAGACTACACATTTGGGTTTTATCAGAATCAGAATCAGAATCAGTAAAGGCTTTATTGCCAAGTAGGCCTATGTTCGCACACACAAGGAATAACCTATGTTTTGGAGACAGAAGAAGCTTCATGTGCATCTTATGTTGTTTAATGAATCTTTATTGCATTATTTTAGTGTCATGTGTGTTACCATAATGGTGTTTTGTGTTTGCGTGAATCACTGCACCTTCTGAATGCTAGTATAATTCAGCCTGGGGAAAAGCTGGTAAATTTACTTTTTCATGATTCTTCATTCGTCTTTCTTTTTTACCACCTGCATTATTATGGAGGTTGTCAGTATGTTAAAACAATAAAGGAATAAAGAAATAGATTTTAGTAGCCTAGCAGTGTGCATTGTTGGATTTACTGGTTTACAGTTTTATATTGTAGGCCTATAATGTACAGGTTGTTTTTATAGTATTTTTTACAGAATTATTCTGGCAACCACTGCTGGCAGAATTTTTTTATTTTATTTTTTAGAGTGTAGTGCTATTTTAAGCTTTTGGGGCATTTAAGTTCCTGTGAAACTCATTGAAGATTTATATATTTAGATAAAAATGTGCACAAATTCTAAAACAAAGATTATGCAATAAAAAAAGTATCAAATGCATTGTTTCTTAGTTTATTAGTGGTTCTTACCTAGGGGTTTATGCTTGACATTTCCAATTACATGGCTTGTGTCTTATACCTTTCTACTTGAGTTTTGAGAAAGTGATTTTTGCCTGGACAAGTAAAAATATATTTACATTAAATGCAATTTGGCGTTGGGCTCTCTTGAACATATAAACAATTATCAATCATTAAATCAATCAATCAATCAATAGAAGCACTTTAACAGTCATTTTGAAGTTGATTCAAAAGTCTGGTAAGTGTCTGAAATCTCTTTTATATTAGCTATTATGTAGGCTACTGGACGTTACTTTTGTGTACAGTATATCGGTGTGGTCAACCGTTGATCGCAGAAATATAGGTTACTTTTTAATGCAACTTAGTTATATTGGTATCGGTTTTTTGTTTTGTTTTTTTGTTTTACCGCTGTACTGTTATTAACAAGGCTACAAATGGGTCAATGAAGACATTAGATATTATAAATGGGAGCGATCTTTTAAAAATCAGGTTTAAATCATATATCAAGTTAGTGCGTGTAATTAGTTACAACGTTTAAACCAATGTTAGATTTTTAGATAGAGATTTAATAACTTCAACGTTAAACATGTTAAGTAAAGTAAAACGTGCTAATATACTTTGTTTGCACACACTGCTAACACATTATTTTCCAAAACGATTTCCAAACTTTTTTTTTCTTTTTTCATTAATATCATGAATTTTGAGCCATGAACATCTTGACGAACTTTTCTTGGGGTTGTATTTGACCTGAACAAAACATTCATTTTTATTAAAAAGGTCAAAATATATGAGTCATCAAGCGGTCCATATGTTTTTGTTTGTTTGTTTTAATCACATGACAATAAACTGAGTCTTGCCCCTTGGTTATACACACTGAGGTTGATCTGATCATTTTCTAACCAAAATACTTTATTGCGCATACATTAGGCCTACATACACACATACATAATAATTAGACACAATAAAAAAAAAAAAAATACTTTCAGTAGATGCTGATTCTGATGAGTTATTTCTTGCTTGCTTGCTTGATTGATTGATTGATTGATTACCCCCCTTAGATTTTATAAATACACTCTCAAAACTGCATGCCCTGTAAGTAGCCTGCATACAGAACATCTGAAACACAAATAGGTCTGTATGATTACTTTCTGCAGTTAAATTCAAACTGAAAATCAAAGTGAGAGCTTTGAGAGAAAACAAAACAACATTCATAAAATATGAAGAATGAAATACTCTTGCTAAATAAAACCCACATACCCAACTAAAAACTGTAATTATAAAACTGCATAATATGGTGAGAAGGCCAATTCTGGAGACCTCAACCAAATATTTTAAGCATCTGACTCATATTTGCAATTGTAATCGCAGAGTCCACCATGGGAATTATGTACTGTATAGTTGTATATAAGATCAACTGTATTTTGTATCTGTGCCAAGTGTTGCCAACACACAGCACATATAGAGGTGTGGAGGAATCCAACTGTGCATGAAATTGCCACCAATCAAATCATCTGGATTTGGCTTCTGCTTAAAATAACTCCTCTTACCGTCTGTCACACGGCAGGTGTAGAGCCATATCATCATGTACTGTATGTATGACTCTCATCTTCCTGTGGCCATAGAAATAGTATATACTGCACAAACTGCAGTATATGATGCATATTGGAGGTACATATTGAAGCAGCCAATAGATTGCTGCACCTATGTCCAGACTGTGATGTGTTTTAGAAAAAATATACCTACTGGAGTCATATAAAGTTGGGTATATAAACTATGATTCTCAAAAGTAACTTACAGTTAAACAGAGTTCAGTGAATCTATCAAGTTCATTGGACCATGCTTTCATAAACTGAAGTCTCATTCAATGCATCATTCAAGTGCTCTGCATACTTTATGTCTTAGATCAATGTTAGAAGATAACAAAGAGAGCCAGTATGTCTCGAAGTAGACACAAAGAAGTGTTTGTCACAGCTTCAGACTTTCCAATGACGCAATCAGATGAATATAGATCTCCCCCCCCCCCCCCCCTACCTGTTCTCTTCGGGGTAATGAATATGTCGTGTTTATGAAAAGCAGTATTTGACCTGAACAAAACATTCATTTTTATTAAAAAGGTCAAAATATATGAGTCATCAAGCGGTCCATATGTTTTTGTTTGTTTGTTTTAATCACATGACAATAAACTGAGTCTTGCCCCTTGGTTATACACACTGAGGTTGATCTGATAATTTTCTAACCAAAATACTTTATTGCGCATACATTAGGCCTACATACACACATACATAATAATTAGACACAATAAAAAAATATATATACTTTCAGTGGATGCTGATTCTGATGAGTTATTTGGTCAATCAGTCATTAAGACCCTGAGAAAATGTTTATATTATGATGCACGAAATTTGCCTGGTAAACTGTTGAGATTGTGCAGTCAGATTTACAGTTGTGATTGGTTGTCTAGAAACATGGGAAGTGAAATTAGCCAGGTAGTGTGACGGGTTTAGTTTGAGTTGCAGAGAGACGGTTTACTGTTGATATGTAAACTAAAAGGCATTAAACTCAGTTCAGACCCCATGGCACTGATTCATTTCAGAACAAGATGAACCCTTACCAAGTGCATTTTCAGGTAAATATAATAAAAAATGTTCTTTAAGAAATGTGAGATCTCTTTCATATACAAGACTCACTTAACAGATTTATATTTGGTTCTGTACTTATGGCTGATGTACTTACTATGCATGCTAATGTATATTATAGTCTATGTACTACTGCACAGAAAATAAGATATATATAAATGCAGCTCTTGCTCTCTTTCGCACACATTTTATTGTTGATCATTTGGAAAGCTTTTCATTTAAATTACAGTCCTAAAAACAATAGTGCAAGAGTGGCCGATGACAATGGCTTTTAGTTGTTGTCATAGAGATGGACTCTTTGACTTTCACAATATGTTGTCTGCCATCTAATTTACATTAATATATGTGACCCTGGACCATAAAACCAGTCATAAGGGTCACTTTTTTGAAATTGAGATTCATACAACATCTCAAAGCTGAATAAATAAGCTTCCCATTGATGTATGGTTTGTTAGGATAGGACAATATTTGGCCGAGATACAACTATTTGAAAATCTGGAATCTGAGGGTGCAAAAAAAATCAAAATACGGAGAAAATCACCTTTAAAGTTGTCCAAATTAAGTCCTTAGCAATGCATATTACTAATCAAACATTAAGTTTGAAAAGTTACAAAATATCTTCATGGAACATGATCTTTACTTAATATCCTAATGATGTTTGGCATAAAAGAAAAATCTATAATTTTGACCCATACAATGTATTTTTGGCTATTGCTACAAA